TTTTATTCATTTTGCCTTATGCATTTGATTGGTAATTTCTTCTTCAAGTTTTTATAATTTTTAATAAGATTACTTTTTCATCGTCTCTACGGGTAATAAAAGAGTTTATGCATGGTCCACACTTCTTTTTTCTCCACCATCTTTACCTTCGCATCCCCATCGATCAGGGGAGTATTCCCCACCCTTTGTTCTTTATGTTTTGTGAATTTGTCATTAATTTTCTGCGCTCCTAAGTTTGCATTTTATTATTCTTTAAACATTGAGAACAATGTTCTGTATAAGTTTTGGGGGTGGGAATATGTCATTCATCATGTTACTGCAGTTTTTGTTTTTATGTGATTGTGTGAGAAAAAAAAATTCAGTTCTTCATTCTTTGCCGGGTTATTCTTAGTTTTACGCATTTCTAGTATTAGTTAAGAATTTTGTGTGCTTGTGTAGGTTTGACAATTCTGCCGACCATGATGTTTAATATTGGACTATGTATGGACCGTGAATGGTGAAAATTGTGCATTATTAGATTGATCAATACATGTTTATGTGAAACTTGATTTACTGTGCGCACGAAACTCATGCTTGCATATTGGGTTAATGATTTGATTCATTGTTTAGAAATAGTTGAACATAGAAAATATACCCGAAAAACTTCTTTTGTGCTAAATCATGATCAATTTTTAGAATAGTTTAGATGTGACTGAATTGTTGCAATGGAGCACTGAGATGAGTAGAGGTTCCGTGCATGATATTATGTGTGGATTGTCTAAAACCAATGAGATGAAAACGAGGTGAAAGTTTCAAGTTAGGGTTTAGTTTTAGAAATTGGGTGTCTAAAAGAAAATGGGCATCAATCACTAATCATTGAATAATCAAATACATCTGTTCGAGCATGTATAACTCGAGTGGTTAAGCCTGCAAGGGTTTAAAATCTGGTGCCGTATGGTCATTTGACTTGGGAGTCATCGGCCTAAAACTCGCTACAGGGGTTATAAAGAAAGCAAAGGAAAGATGATATATTAAATAAAAGAAAAAAAATGGTATCTATCT